TCCTGAGAGAAGGCAAACACCTGAGGGAGGAGGCGGCCGTGGCCCAGGAAGATAAACCTACCAGGTCATGCCACGTAGGACTTGTCACATGGCTTTGGGAGGGTAGGATTCCCCCCATCCCTGAAGCATCCCCAAATCCCCCTATGCAGAAAGTCTTCCACATCCTCAAGAAGCCTTAAATCACAGCATGAGGGTCCTTAAACGTTTTCTTTGTTTCCTAACATAACCACTTCCTACTAATCAGAGTGTGAAAATTATATGTCAGACGGACATAAAACAAAAGAACAGACCAAATTCTATCTATTCTGCTGCTCATTAGGAGATAAAATTCCAGGAGAAAAGCAGAACCTCCTGGAAGAAATCTGGGGGAGGGTGATCTGAGCTCAACCGGTAGTTCTTGTTCTAAGATCCTTACACTGGACTTTGGTTCATGCCAGTAAATCTGCTCTTGGGAATTCCACTTCTAACCCCTTCCCCTATTCCTCTCCTCCCCCTGAATTATCCGGGAGGAGAAGATGCAAGTCTGTAGAGAGTAGGGAGGCAGCCCCCACCTGGTCCTGTGCCTGGCACCACAGCCAGCATCATAGCCATTCACACACACTGCCCAGCCAGGGCAGGGACATCCCCTGGCATGTGCCAAAGACCTGACTAGGATCCCTGAGAAGCGCTCCTGCACATCCATTCGATGTGCCCCAGGAGGGTCCATCTGAGCCTGGTCCTTCCCTTCTGGGCTCTCCCAATGCTGTACCTGCAGCGGGTGAGGCAGTGGACACCCCTGGGCCCCTCTCCACACCCGACTCTGGTCTGGGAATGTCGAGACACCCCTCAGGGCTGCAAGGAGCTCACAGTCAAGTGGGCAGGACAAGTTACTACACAGGGTGACAAGCACCGTGAGAAAAATGAGCATGAGGTTGGGGCCAGGAGCCATGGTGGAGGGGAGAGGCTTGAAGGACAAGGAAGGTGGCCCTCAACCTGTTGTTGGACTTGAGACTCGATTCATNGTGGTGGAGAGGAGAAGCTTGAAGGACAAGGAAGGTGGCCCTCAACCTGTTGTTGGACTCAAGACTCGATTCATTTTAAACTCTGGTGTGTGCATTTTTCCAGGGGGAATAAAAAAGGTGGCTCTTGGTTTTAATCTGAGTATTCGCGAGGGCACATACCTTCTTACCAAAAAATCATCACCGACAGCCTGTCACGACCGGCCTGATGATCCGCTCCTCCCCTCATGTGAAATGCAGAAGTCCAAGGGCACAGGTGGGACAGGCAANTCTCACTGTCACGACCGGCCTGATGATCCGCTCCTCCCCTCATGTGAAATGCAGAAGTCCAAGGGCACAGGTGGGACAGGCAAGAAAACTGACTCCCCTGTCCTGGCTGGCACCCCCAGCCCCAGCAGAAAGGACAGAAGGGGGAGAGTCAAAGGAGGGGTTCTACATATGCTCCAGTGGAAGCAACAGGGCCAGGAAGGATGCTCGAAGGCGAAGTTTAAGGCTGACAATGGGATACAGGCAGCCTGAGAGGCAGGACAGGGAGAGGTTTCTCCAGAGGGGTATGGGTGGAGGAAGGGTTACATTCTCTCCTCGCCAGTCAGGATGCCTGATCAGGGCTGGTTAGATCTTGCTGATGGGGTCTAGCTCCTGGTTCCAGATCTCAGCGAGTGTATAACTTTTGGCAAATTGCTGCTTTTCCTACCCTCAATCCCACTGCAAGCCCATAATGGTCCAATGGAATAACAATGTCTTTCTTATAAGGGCTGCCTGTCACAACTGTGAACAAACACCTCAGAGGGTGGTCACAAACCCCAAGCTTACCCTGACCATGCACGTGAAAGGGGCTGCTGGCCTCAGATGCCTCGCTTGTAAGTGGAAAGACACCTGTCATGTCCCCGCCACGCTTCTCACACAGCTGTTAGGTTCTCTCACTTACTCCTAACAGCCTGTAAAACATTCTCTCCAGTTTACAGACTCGGAAACGAAGGTAGAGTCATTCTTTTCATCATTCCGCACTGGGGAGGCTCTGTTCTAGGCACTGAATAAGGCACTGAACAAGGCCTATTCTTGTGGGGCAGATATTCTGGGGGAAAGGTAATAAACAGAAAATAATTCCAGATGCTGGCAAATGCTATAAAGGAAACAAAACAGGATGATCTGATAGGCTGACACAGAGGAACAGAAATAGAGAAAAGTGGACTCCAAATACAGGGAACAGCCGTGCAAAGGCCCTGAGACACGAATGAGCTCGACTTACTCAAGGAAGAGAAAGGGGGTTAGTGTGGGAGCGGGTGGGAGACAAGGTAGGAGAGCAGACCAGGGCCCAACAGTGTGTGGTATTCCAGGTGGTGGTAAGGGCTGGGAATTTTATTGTAGGTACCATGTGATGACAGCTGAAGATCTTTAAGCAAGCCAAGTGACACAACTTAAGTTCCGGCTATTTAGAAGAATGAGTGATGGGGGCCAGGTTTAAAGAGGTTTGGAGAGGTTAAATGAGCAGCTCAGTTTTACCACCATTCCTAGTGTGCATCCAACACCAAGGTGCGTTTCCACAGGGATACATTTCACGCACTGTAGTATGTTTGTGGGGTTCCCACTACCTCCGTAATCCCAGCCTCACTTCCTGCCACAGTCGAGAGAGGTGAACAGCTCATGGTTGCAGGACAACAATTCAACAGCAAATAAGGAAACATGCTCTGTACTCATCTGGCCACATTCAGCAAACAGTGAGTGTCTGCTGTGCACCGGGCACTTGTAAACTTGTTCCACAGTGTTAGAAATGTGTTATTAGAGTACATGTTTAATAAAAAAATCACTCTGGGGAAAATAAAGGGCCAGCCCTCATTCCTTAAGAAAGGTGAAGCTAGTGTGGCTACTGAGTTCCCCTAGTCTTCACTTTTCTCTCCATCAAGTCAATTTTTCCGGAGAAGCATCTTCTTTTTGAAAAGGGAGAAGAAATAAAGGAGAGAAACAGTTAATATACTGGGGAGGCAAGACATAACCACCAAAGGATTTACCCTTTAAGACCAGCTTCAAATCACAGGTGACCCTGACCATCAACCCCCTGAGTGAGTTTTCCATTTCTAACCTGTAAAACCTGAACAAACCTGTCCCCCCTCGAGGTAGTGAACTAATCTGGCACTATGGCATGGGTGAGGCACAATTAATGGGATCTGCCTGCCCTGCTCCTTTGAGTGGCTAGAAGAGAGATAAGAACACTCACATATAAAAGATTCTCAGATAACTGAGTTGGTTGAGTTTATACTGTTCTTAGAAATCTGCCCTGCTGGAAAGGGGCAAATAAGGTCAAAGTCATTCCTCCCAAGCTATGAGCAGAACTGAAAACCACCTGAGCCCACGCTAAGCAAGGACATCCGATTTCCACGGCAGCCCTCACTAATCCATTTAGCCACCACCTCCAGAAAAAGACCAAGACTGCCTGGTCTACCATCCCACTGCCCCGCTCTTTAATTAAACCACCGAGACCCGATTTCTTCTCCAGAGGCCCAGAACAGGCTGCACCTTGACCCCTCAGCTCCAGGGAGAAGACCAAGGGATGCAAAGGAAAGTTATAGCCTCGACAAGCAACGCAAGACAGACATGGACCAGTAGGTACAGAACAAAAGAAAAAACAACTTGGCTGAAAGACAGCTACTTCCAAATGAGGAAAAGACCCTGAACAGCTGGTGACTTTTTAAGCAGAATTCCATGGCCACTGGGTGCAAATGCACTGGATGTGGGACCTGTCTGTGTAGGGACTCAGATACCCCACTGAGAAGACCTCTCCCTCCCTGTACTGGGTTGAGTAGTATCCCCCAAAGTCATGTCTACTTGGAAACTCAGAATGTGACCTTATTTGGAAATAAGGTCTTTTCAGATGTATAGTAATTAACTAAATTTAAGACGAGTTCATGCTGGTTTAAAGTAGACCCTATTTCAATGACTAGTGTCCTAAGCAGAGAAAACAAAGACACAGACAGGACATTCAGACACTACAGTGATACATCCACAAAGCAAAAAAAAATGCTGAGGATTAGAATGGCCTGGCCATTGGACTTGTAGCCTCCAGAACTGTGAGAGAACATATTCCCACTGTTTTAAGCCCTCATTTGTGCTACTTTGTCATGGTAGCCCTAGGAAGCCATAGGCTCTATTTCACACCTGTTCCCAAACCACGCGTCCCAGTTTCATCCCAGGGGCGGCAGGCAAGACACACAGGCCATGCCTCCAGCCCACCTGGACTTTCCACCCAGTCAGTGCCCCTTCTGCCTTTGAGGAGAGGGGAGTCCAGGGATCACATTTCAGCTCCCCCCCTTCTGCCACCGGAGGCAAACTGGCAGGGGAGTGTTTTGTTTTCGCCTCACATCCCCTAAGATTTATAGCCTCTCATTGAGATTAGTATTTCTTAAAGTTTATTCAGCGCCATCCTAGAGATATGGGAGGGGGGTATAACTATGATACCTGATCTAATATTTCTTTATATTGAATCACTACTTTTACTAACTTTCTTTTTTTGGGATTATATTTCTTTAAAAAATTTTTTTTTATTGTTGACATTATTACAGATGTCCCCCATTTTCCCACCCTTTGCCCTGTCCACCCGGCCCCTGCAAGAACTGCTACATCGTGACAGTAAATGGGAGGGAAATCAGCATCGTTCATCCTATGCAAAACTTGCTAGGTACGTTTTTAAATTGCACATTAAAATGTTTAAGCCCATTCATCCACCTTTTAAAATAACCTCGTGTGACAATATTACGGGAAATACCACCTTAAAGAGTAGAGCGACTCGGTTTCGCTGGCGGGGAGCTCTGGGCGCCTAATTAGAAAAAACCAACAACTTAAGCTCTCCCATCTCGTTTCTCCCCGGACTCTCCGGGAGAAGGCTCTGGGCAGGAGCGAAGGAAGGCACCGAGAGCTCCCAGTTCTCCCGGGGGCGACCCGAGCAAACAGCCGAGAGCGAAAGGGACGGGACTCAGCCCGGGAGCTGCGGGCCGGGGAGGGACTGACCTTCTCGCGCAGCGCGCAGTGGACGTCCGAGGCGACGCGCCCTTCCCACCAGGGCTCATCCATCACCGCGTCCGCAGCGCCGCGATCCGAGGCTACCGGGCTCTCAGGGCGCCCCCTGCGTGGACACGGGCCCCTCAGCGGCCGAAGCGCGCCCCCCGCTCCGACCCCGGCACCCTATCCTCGCTCGCCCCCGGCCCGGAGCCCCCTCCTGCCCACCTCGGCGGAGCTGGCGGTCATCTCCCGTCCGGGGAAGGTTGCGGTGTCCCCTCCCCTCCGTTCGTGGGACCTGGGGGTGGGGGGAGACCTGGAGCTGTGCAACAACTTGCAGAATTTTTATCTCCCCTTTTGCAAAAGTTGCAGGGAAAGTTGCCGACTCCGCTAGCTCGCCCGAGGCGGGGGCTCCGGCGGCGGCCACCGGCTCGCAGTTCCCAACTCCTCCCCCGCCGCCCAGCCTTTGTCCTGCTCCCACATCCTGCCCTCGAGCCCGGGCGAAACTCACGCATCCCTCTCCGGGCGGGGAGTGTTGCGGGCGCCGGGCCCCTCCCAGGGCCGAGGCGGCGGGCCCTCGGGTGCCCGCACGCGGCTGAGCCC